ACACAGCGGGGCAGCCCACTGAGGGGGCCACAGCCGGCACAGAAGGGGCACTGGGCAGTGAGCACGCGGGAGCAGGCGCCAGGAACCTCAGGTGGGCCCGCCCAGCGCAGGCTCGGGACCCCCTTCTCCAGGAGGAGGCTGTTTCCCTGACTGCCCCAACTCTGACCTGTATCAGGCTTCACCCAGACCGTCCAGTGAGACCGCCTCTGGCCCCGTGCCTAGCCTCCCACCGAGGACCGTCTGTCTACCTCGGCAAGCACTGAAGACCTTACTCGCCACGGTGGGGAAGGAACCCAGCTGTGTGTCAGGGGATGGGTGGCAGGACTGCCTCCACGCACCGTGGCGTCGGCCGGGCTATTCAGACTCAGCTTTCTCTCTCTCTCTCTCTCTCTCTCTCTCTCTCTCCTCTCCTCCCCTCTCCTTTCTTTTCCTTTCTTTTTTTTAGTTTGCTACAGTAGAGAGAGAGAGTGAGAACGCACCCCTCAGGCAATGGCTACAACCCCTCCGGACTCTGGGCATGTACACTCACACCGGCGTGCTTCAGGCCACCAGGCTGGGGACTCTAGCTGCACAATGGGCCCTGTGAGACCCAGCTGCCACCAGCTGGTCCAACTTCTTTTTTTGTTTTGTTTTTGTGAAGAGGATAAACCCTAAGGTTAGGTGCCAACTGCGAGCTGGCCTGGGCGCTGGGCGTGCAGGCACTCTGGACAGGACAGTGGGGCCTCGGTCTGGTGAAAGGACGACCCCTGGCCACAGGAGATGGCTGTGCCAGAAGTCAGGCTCCGGCCTCCGCTCTTCAGAATGGAGGGGTACCTTGGCGTACAAGGCTCTCCAGCTGAACCCCCCGAACGCCACAGTTCTCCCCTGCCGTGGCAGTGCACTCCTTCAAGGCACGCTGGGCTGAGTGGGGAGGCATCGGCTCCACTTCTCCCATCCGGGCTCACTCACAGTTCTTGTTGCCAATTTACAAAGCAAATCGAGTTCTGTCTCTGAAAGTCTCTAACTCCTGGCGGTGCGCAGCTCTGAAATCCGAGCAGCTCACACCACGGCCGGCCGGGCAGAACTCACAGGCCACGTGCTCGGAAGGAGTTGGACAGGGCCGCACAAAGGACCCTTTGACTTGGGACACGCAGAGAAGATGAGGGGCCTGGCCGGGAAGTAAAGCCAGGAGAGGATCAGGGAAACGGGGCTGGGAACCGGCAGGCCGTGAGTGGACGCTGTACTTTTTAAGGTTTCTGCCAGAGCGCATATGCTCACCAGAGAAAACGAGAGAGCAAGCGCAAAAGGAAAAGTGGGAAATCGTCCCCCAGGCAGGATGAGAATGTCACAATCCCTTCTGGGATGTCGGCACACACGCACACCTAGAGCGATTTTTCAAGCTGCCAGGTCCAGGACTCGAACTGTGGTCGGCCAAGAGGGAGTTCAGAGCCTTAACCACTACACCACTTGCTGGTCCCCATTCCAGTGCTTTAATACCAGGTACCATGCACATCCTCCTGGTAGCAAACAGGACCCCAACCCTTTCTCGGAATGCAGTCTATGGAAATCAAGGCCTACATGCCCTGGGGGGGAGGGGGTGGTCAGGACACTTGGCAGGAGCCAGCTCTGATCAGACACACCCTGCAGTGTAGACCACCTAGGAGAGGGAGGAGACACGTTTATAAAATAAACTTCCCAAAGCCTCACTTCTGTGACCTCTAGGCTATAGCGCTGGTTTTGGAGAGTGTCCAGGGCCACCCAGTCCACGGATCGCCCCCAGCTTTGCCAGCCTCCGAGCCAGGGCAAAGTAGAGGCTACGAAGTCCGGTCTGGATTTAGAGGCCCTGACCTAATAGCAGAAACTACACCGAAATAGCCAAGAAAAACAAAGTGCGCGATCCCAAAGTTTCCTAGGAGGTGAAGAGTGGGAAGTGACGCGCATAAACAGGAACCCCACTCTGAACAGAGCGACGCCTGCCCTTAAAGCAGATGTGCAACACGCACAGCGGACAGCCCCAAAACCCTTCGTGGTGTCTCACTGGGGCACGTACACCTCGCACCCCTCAGGGCAAAACAAGCTCAGGTTGTCAGCGCCGGGGGTCTCCAGAAGGGCTCTCCCTGCCAAGCCCGGGCCCCTCCTAGCTCAGGTGGCCCTTCCTCCGGTCCAGAAGCTGGGCTTGGGGGTTTATCAGGGAGGCCGGAAATCCAGAAAAGAGCGCCGGAGAAAGGACCCCTGGGGCTTGACCAGTGGACAGCAAATCACTGAAGAACGTACGGCGCCGTTCCTCTCTCTCTGGGGCCCCGGGGATGCAGCGCCTGCAGAGCAAGGTCGGCCCGCAGGGGTGAAGCACAGACGGGGCCGCGGGCCAAGGCAGGCCGGACACGTTCCGCTCCCATCCAGACGGGAAGCAGAACAAAGCCCACAGCACCCACAATGGGAGGGCACATTCTGCCTGCTTCTAGAACGCAGGCACTAGGGGCCGGTGCCAGCGGGGCCAGACCTTCCCAACAACGCAAACAACACGCGGCCCGCCGAGTCCACGCGCCGGCGGTGTGGCCGCAGGGGGGGGGCGGTCTCCCGAGCGCAGGGCTCACGGTGGGGACAGTTCGCGACCGGGGACCAGGCGCACGGGCCGGCCGGGCAGGGGTCACCCCTCACTCAGCAACCCTGGCCGGGGGGGGCACGCGGG